ATAATTATTTAATATTTAAATAGATCACAAATTTAATTGGCTTAGTTTTCAAATAGCGTATAATGTATAATACTTTATTTATATGTATAAGTATATGGGCCCACTTATAGTATTCATGCATCTAGTGGTATGCTATCAAATGTTTTATAATTTTCTACTTATTAAAGCAGCTTCTTAGTATAAAAATTAAAAAAAATTGTACTAGGAAGCTGCTTTAAAAAGCAGAAAGAAAGCCGTCCCAAACGAAGTCTTAGGTTTCGTTTGGAGCAGCTCTCTTACGGCTTCTTAAAGTAAATTTTTAGTATAAAAAATTCTAATTTAAAAATATGTATTTTAAAAATTGTTTTAAAAAGAAACAAGAAAATTATCTCAAACTAAGCCTCAATGATTTAGGCTTCTTTTGGAACAAATTTTTTTACTATTATGCTTTTCATACTACAATCACAGTTTCTATTTTATCACTATTTTTTCGTTACTTAAAAAATAATTGTACTTAAAAGCTGATTTCTACAACATTTTTAAAAAATTATCTTTTTTTACAACAATTTTACAAAGCAATAAAAAAAATATTCCAAACAAGCATCTGATTGAGGCTTAGGGTAGTGGAGATGTTGAGATGATCTGCTTGTAGAATGTAGAGCATGCTCTGAAATGTAAATTAAAGGTTATTTTTAAAAATGATGGCTAACATGATTAACATTCTGTTGATTATAACTTTTATTTTATTAGCAGTTTTGTGGTTTCATTCAAAGAAGATTATTTTGCATTGATGATGTATTGATATGTGATACGAATTCTTATCTAATTGGATTCTTTGCTCAATCCAATTTGTTTAGTATGTGTTAATGTAAGGATTTTACAATAATTAGAGCAAACTAGAGATGCTTCTGTCTGCTAGGGCTTTTTCCGCTCTGTTAGGGCCGCCTCCATCTCCGTCTCCGTCTCTCTCGCCCTTTTTCTTATAGCTAATAAACGGTTAGACCCTGACTTTCTTGAGGGTAAGAATTCTAAATCCTTCAAAGAGGTGTTGTCTGGTTCTGATGTTTCTAAGGTTTTTTTTCGAATTTTCGTGTTTCTACGACTCGGGGTATGTCGACTTTGTGGTTTTTGGATGATGAATTTATGCATATTGCGAAACCTTTTGAGTTTGCTTTAGTGGAGAAATTTCCGCTTAAGCCGCTGGCTTTGGACTCGATACGTAGGTTTTTTTTCAACCTAAAATTATAGGGTGAGTTCTCTGTTACTCTTTTGGATCAGTCTAATGTCTTGATCAAGGTTTCGAATGACATCGACTATGGGAGGATTTTTGCGCATCGATCCTATTTCGTTTTTGGTTGTTTTATGAAAGTGATAAAGTGGACACCTCTCTTTGACCTTTCAGAGGAGTCGCCAATTGTCCATGTCTAGATTTCTTTTCCAGGGCTTCGTCCTCACGTGTTCTCCCGGATAAACTTGGGTATATTCATAAAGTTGTTTTTGAAGGAATGCCTAATTTCTGTCAGCATTGTAAATCTGTGGGTCATAAGAAGTCGGAATGTATTAAGTTATTCCCTCATTTGCAGCCGGCTCTAGATTTGGCTCAACCGTCGGTGGCTTCGGTTTCTGATCCCAAAGTGAACTCTGTTTCTTTAGCTCTAATCGACCCCTCTTGTCCAACGATCTGTGACGACGCCGTCCCTATCGCTGGGAGTGATATTCCTGGTCAGGTGGCGTCTGTTATTTCTATTAATTATAGTAGTGTTGATCATGTAGTTAGGGGTGTTGATGATAGTTTGGGGGCTACGGATGTCACTTTGGACTTTGGTTTTTCCTATGGTGGTTCTGTTTTTGGGGTTTTGTCTGATTTTCCTATTAGTTCTCATGATAATGTTGGTGTGGAGACCGGTTCCATTTCTGATGTGGTCTTACCTGTTTCTGCGACTGTTAATTCGGTGGAAGATGTTAATTTGTTTAATGCTGATGTCCCCTCCGGTTGCAATCGTTTTTCTCCTTGTGTCCCTGCTTCTGTGGGGGGAGGGGATCTTGTACCTGATGCGATGAAAAGTGGTACTCCTTGTGGTGTGAACTCTATTGGTTCTCCTTCATCTAATGTTGAGGTGGAGTCTTGTGAGGCTTTTGTTGGTCGTGATGTTGTTAGAAGTGAGGTTCATTCAGGTGAAGGGTTGGTTATCCCTAATTCTTTTGTGGAAGTGCCTGTGAAATTAATCAAACCCAATGTTATGGTGTATCATTTGGGTTATAATTCTGGGATGGATGTGCGGTTTCACCTTGATTGTCCTCGGAGCATTGTGGAGGTTTTGAACATGGACATGATTTTAAAATGGTTCGTGACCGACTGGTCTTTGCTGGTTCTCGTGGGAGGTCCCGTGGGAGGGGCAGACGGGGTCGTTAGCTCTTTATGCTTTCTCTCTGGATGGTTTTTTCAAGCTGATTCGATCGAGTTTTTTTTTTTTGTCGTGGTTGTGCTAGGCTATGATGTGGCTGGGGCTCGCTTCTTGTTGTCATGGCTCATGGCAACCTTTGGTGTTGAACTTTTGTTACCTGGCTGGTCGGTTGGATTGTTTTCTTCGCGGCGTTTCTTCATCAAATTGAAGGGTATGTGCGTGACTTCGGGGGAGCTGGGAGCCTCAGTCAATTACTGAGCCCTCTGATTGTGTCTTATTGTATTTTCTTTTACTATTTATATTTTGCTTCTTGGCCTATTGTAACTCCTTTTTGATTTAATATGATTTTTGTTTTGATAAAAAAAAAAGGATGGTACAATTCATGTTGTAATAATACAGCTTTATTAGCTTAATTAATTAATCTTGTATGATTCAAAGAGGGAATGAATGTTTAGAAGATAATGATTAATTAGTACCAAAAGTAAAAATAAAATAGTCAGCTCAGCCAATTTATGATAAAACAATCTATCTTGTGGGTTTTTGCTGCTAATCAACAGGCTTTGAGTCGAAGCTTGTGTATATGATATGTGTATGAATTTGACTTAATTAATGACTCAAATATCAATAAAAAAAATTGGAAAATCTAAAAAATGTTTGTAAAAGATTTTATGTTGAGATTTATAGATTACAGTGAAGCCCGAAGGCCTGGGGTCTCATGAACTGAGCATTTGCTTTATTGTTAAGCATAATTTATCTAAAAGAATTTAGTTAACCGACAAAAAATAGTGCAATATATAATATCTAAATGTTGCATTAGGCTTCACTTGTGACAGTTTTCTTACTATTTTATTATCCAGTTCTCAATCATAATTTTTTTATTTGGCCGTTACTTTGCATTATTTTCAATAAATTTTTATGATGCTGTCAACAACAACTTTCTAAAAAGCTGATATCTTCACAATTTTTTTATAACAATCGAATGCAACTGTCCCAAATGGACCATAAATCTATAGACTTTAATTCTATTTATCAAGGTTGTGAAAATCGGACCGGACAACGAATCGGACGTAGGAGAGAAACGGTCGAACTGGGGTCGAACCGGATGACGTAATAAATAATAATATTATTAAAATTTTAATAAAATTAGCTTCACTTCCGTAACCATTTAACATCATATGATTCCTATGACACTATTTTGATATTCATTAAGCATATGTTACAACTCAAAATAAATTAATAATGTAACAACTAATTATACAAAATATAAACAACTCATTCGTTATTATCACCGGGAAGAATGCATACCTCAGTTTGATTCGAGTCAATGTGCAGCAACAATTAGTAGAGCTGAATGAAAAGTTGTACTTAAATTCAGTCACTTAACTTGAAAATGTGAAAAAAAGTGCATGAGAACATCTGAATTTTCGTCTCTGATTGTGGAACTCAAATAGATAATAAAAAACCGTCAAAGAAATTTTTGTATAGTAGAACTGCAGTATACAAAAGTATAAAAATTTAGGCATTTATGCTCTGCATTAAAGCAATATAGTGAGAACAAAAGAAGAACAGCGTGATCATATAATATAAGATTTTAGGGTTAAAAAAAAAACTTATATCGTGCGGTTAAAAGGAAGAGAATAAGTAAGGATGTGCGTGAGACGACCAAGACGATGTTGTCGTCGAGTTCACGAATGGTCTGGAGGATGATGTCTGAGACAAAATGTAGGAGATGACTGCCGGAGACGAATTGGAGATGAGCAAGCGAAATGAATTTCTAGAGCGAATCGAATGTTATTAGGATATTTTCTGCAATTACTCAATTAGCCGTTGGATCCAAAATCAATGGCTCACATCCGTTGTTTTTTAACCGGGTGGTTCTTTATAATCAGCGCCGGTTCGACCGCCATTTGGACGGTTTTTTGCCCGGTTTGATTTGAAGCTGGTATGAGGGCTGATAGAACCGGCCGGCCTGCCGGTTCACGGTTCAACCAGTTAAATCGGCTGGTCCGGTCCGATTTTTAAAACCATGCTATTTATGACACAAAATATGCTAGCATAATTTTTTTTCATATTTATTCTAATAACAATATCTTCCTGCATAATAAGCTTAAATATCTTTTATACACTTGTGTGACATGATTGGAATATTCAATATAATTTTAACTAGTATGGATTATAATCATTAATTTTAATTACCATAAATAACTATTAAGTATAAATAATATAATTAAAGTATATTTAATTATTAATTAATTTAACTACTTATTTCCTTACCAAATATACTATATTCTTAAGTAGAGTAGTTAAGTCATACTTTTTTTTTTAGTTAAGTCATACTTACTATACTAATTATATTATATTTCTAAATTAAATTACTAAATTGATATTTATAATTTTAAATTTATTAAATTCAAAGGTGGTTAAATTATAAAATTATTTTGCATGGTAGAGATTAAAAATATTTTATATTTAATTTATATGATTAAATTTATTAATCCTAATTAAAAATACTTATCCATTATACATTGTAATTAAATTAAATTTGTCATATTAATATTATAATTAATTGTCAAATTAATAAAATATTTCACCATTAATATACTTTGCCGTGTAGGGTTTGCTTTTCCTCGTCGTTGCCATTTTTTTGTTGCCGCTTCCGCCTCAAGTACTTCGCGCGAACTAGGGTTTGGATAGTCACCAAAGAAAGCTTCTTCAGCTCCTTCGACGACGACGTTGTTCCTCTTCGATTTGAAGTCACGACGGAGGTAACGATCTTTCTCCTCTGACATTAGCGCAGTATTCTTCCACCCAGTCTATGGAGTTAGCCGGCGGCGAGAGACCAACCATTGTGATTGGCGGGAAGGGATCGTCCCTCTCATCTGCGGACGTCTATGCGGTTGCTCGTGGCCTTCGCAAGGTAACCATCGATCCTGCTGCACTCGAAAGGCTTTCCCGTTCCCAGTCCCCTCGTCCTCATCAAGCTGCAGTTGAGTCCATTTCCAAATTTTTAACTTCAGATGAGTCCCGCGCCGCTCTTGTGGTTCTCATTAACAAGCTCGTCGTCTCGGACGCGGCCGTACGACCCACTTTCCCCTCTCTCATCGGGGAAATTCTTGGTTTACAATCAGGGCACAGTTCTCTCGATTTCGGTTCCTCAGTTGGGCTGGTTACCTCGCTTTTTAAGTTGATCGGAAAACACCCAGATGAGTTTGTAGGCGCCACCAAGGATGAGATCAGCGTATTAGAGAAATCCGCTGCCGCTTCTGTTGGGATTTGCGCGATGCTGGATTGTTGCGCTTCTGCACTGGTGAAGCTATCGGATGCTGTTGCTGCGTTCTCCTGCGAAGCTGCTAGGGCTGATGTTGCTTTGTTTGATTTGCCGCCATCAGGGGATGGATTCTTTAATAAGGACGAGACGGATGTGGCAGCTGATATGAAAGCTTTTCTTTTTGGATCGAAAACCGTGGGCCAGTTAAATACAGGACCCTTCAGTGATACCCCTGCCGGTCATGGTAGTTTCCGAGGAGCTGTGAGGATTTTGCATGGTAGAACCAGAGAGGAGTTGAATTCTTCAATTAATGTGAGGAAGAATGCAGTTGGAGTGGTGAGTCATGTGAAGGAGAATGCATTGGTTGCTTTAGTTTTGCCACTGGCAAAGTCAATTCAGTTAATGTGTAAACTTAGCTTGGGGAGAGCAATGACTGTGGCTACATCCCTAGGTAATGAAGAGAAACGAAAAAAGTTTATGGAAGATTTTGAAAAGAGATGCCCTAGTTTGGATGTAATGAGAGAGCAATTGTGCTTGGTTTTAGCGAAAGCTGCTTCCGAATCAGATTCTGTGGAGATTTTGCATGGAGTTTATGAATTGTTGGTGATATTGAAAGAAATTCTTGCCTGGGAGGCAGCAACAGCTTTGTATGCACTTGAGTTGGATGATTCAATTGAAAAACCAGAGGTCAATGATACAGCTTGTATCAATGTGAATAGTGAAAGTGGAAAAGTTGAGAAGAAAGGGGAGAAGAAGAAGAGAAAGAAAACTCTAGGAAGGGGAAACTCTATTTTGTGGAAGGTTTTCAAAGATATGTTAAGTTCACAAAATGATGCATCCACTGATAATGTTGCCACTTTTGGTCATTGGGCAGAGCTGCTTGCACTATATTTTGATCCTGAGGAAACGAGGCTTGATACACTTTTAGGAAAAATCAAGGAGATAGTTGAGAGCAATGAAGTCAGAAGGCTACCAAAGATTCCCAAAGTGAGAACTGTGCTTTATACTAAAAATTTTGAAGCTGTTGACATTTTACTATTTTAGTTGTTATTTTTCGCGCATCTTTACAACTCCTTGGAATTTTTAGTTAATTCGATGTTTTATTATATTGATTTTCTTTTCTAATACCCTTATGCTACATAGCTACGAGTTTTATATATTTTATGCAAGAACTCCTTTATGTAAAATTGTGCTAAAATTATTTTCTCATTTACTTAGAAAGTATTAATATTCTGATAACCATAACTTTAATGCTTAAAATTAGGGTTGCAAACGAACCGAGCCGAGCCGAGTATGTGTGTGTTCATGTTTGAGTTCGTTTATTATCAGCTTTTTCAAGTTTGGTTTGTGTTTGATTCGAGCTTTTTTGTTTGTGTTCAAACTTGGTTTGTTTAATTTAATTGGTGTTCATGTTATGTTCATTTCGTGCTTATCGTGCTTTAAACAAACAACTCCCTCTCTAGTCTTATCAACAAGAAGAATATCGTTAGCAAAAAACATATACCAAGGTACAACATTTTGCAAATGTCTAGTGAGAATGATACGCCAAGAGGGGCCCACCAGGCCAGCCCAGCCCAAGACAAACCAACCATTTAGCTAGGCAAAATCTACGGCAACAACAGGGGGGATTTCAGCCCCCCCTGATGGTCCCCAAAGGATCTATTATTCATTATGTAAGGAGGAGGAATCAAGGGGGAACTAATTAAGAAATGTTTATTTAGGGAAAGAGGATTGATTTGATTTGGAGGAATTATGAATGATTTATCTAAGAAAAGAGAGCTAATTTGATTAGGTAGGAAATTAAGAAATATTTATTTAGGGAAAGATAGGTGATTTGTTTAGGAAGGTTTTTATTATTTAGGAATGTTTCCTAATTGTTTTTATGCTGTTTGGGAAGGTTTTAATTATTTAGGAATATAACCTAATTGTGTTTATGATGTTTAGGAAGGTTTTAATGATGTTTATTTTGTGTTAGGGCTATTTAAGGGATAGTTTTGTCTAGAGTTGAGATATTATGTATGTTGAGTTTTATTTATTCTCTTTTGTTGTGAGTTCCTAGAGGGGGTTAGAGTTTGTGGGAGAGCTGATCTATCTCTTGAATAGTAAATTAATTATATATTTTATTATTGTTGAATAAAAAATAAAAAATCAGCCCACATATTTGTATTCTTGCAATTTTTTTCTATCTATTTTGTTACTTTTACTTCTAAGATGCATCAAAGAACATCCATGACTAAAACAAAAAGGGATGGGTTTAAGGATGATCCTTGATATAATCCACCTGAAATAGGAAAATACTTGGTCATACCACCTTGTGTTTGAACACAAGTAATAGCTCCTGCATACATATCCTTTATGACTTAAATATAAGTATTATTAATCCCTTTGTTTTCAAGAACTCTCCATAGCACTTCTCTAGGAACTTTATCATATTTTTTCTCTAAATTAATTAATATCATATGTAGATCCTCCTTATTCTCTATATATTTCTCCATCAAACCTCTCAATAAATGTATAGCTTCCATAGTAGACCTACCCGGCATGAAAAAAACAAATCACATCAAAGCTATTCACTAAAAATGAAATGCAAGAGATATTCCACAAAAATAGGAAATAGAAGAACTCAAAACCAACATTGTAAACTAAAACAAATAGAGAAGCTGTTTAGCATATCAACAAAATTAAACAACATTGGCTAATTAGCTCACAGCAAAATTCCCATCTCAATAAATGTCATATCTCATATGTGAAGAAGAAAAGATGTTTCTTAGCTTCTCTCACTAGAGAAATCAAATCTCAACTAGGACAATTATTAGTTGATATTAAGGAAATGAGAGACATAGCATTTGTCTCAATCAGTATGTTCAAAAAACCTAATGTGAACAATTTTTTAAGTTATGCACAAGATCGGACTAATCTATTGAAATTCTAATTTGATCCCAAATAAACTTCGGTTTGAATTAAAGTTATTAAAGAGCTTCTGCATTGGAGTTTTCCTCGGAAGAGATTCACAAGGGAACATAAAGAATGATTTTAACAATATGTTTAGAAGGATGGAGTAAATATTTTCATCATTTCAAGCATGTTTCTCAATAAATTCCATGAAAAGAGCAGTTGGAAGAGGATGAGTAGCAAAAATTAGATTAAGCTTACAATTTTCTCACCTACTGATCCCCCACAGAGATAAACTACCTCAGCCAACAATGCAAAATATGAGATCCTTGGCTTTATTTTTAATAGAACATAATCTTCTCCAGAGACAACCAAGTTGAAAGAATTGAATGATGATATGATTAAATATGTTTGTGATAGGAAATACTTGATTCCAAGTATTTACTAATCACTTTAGCCAAAGATCTCACAGCAAACTGCTGTCCACAGCAGGAAATCAGCCATTCATAAAATTTATCCATGGATTTTTTTTTTTTTTTTGGTTTGAACCAATGCTCCTAGGAAAAAAATGATTATATCTAACATGCTCCTAAAGTTAAGACCACCCTAATCATAAGGAAAATAAATTTTATCTCATTTATTCCAATGATTTTTGTCCCATTATCCAAGCTTTCCAAAGGAATTTATTAAAAGTTATTTCTAACTTTTTAGTAATGGCAATGGGAGGAATTTGAAACATAAAAAGGGGCATGTGGTTAAATAATACCCTTTTCAGAAGAGTTGATCTATCACCAGTGGTGTCTCAAGCCAAATAAATAATTATTGATTTTATTAAATGAGCTTTTGAAGAGAAGAATTTTCTTTTGACCTTTTGAGAAGGGAATCCTAAACTATTACAAGGAAGATATTTTCTATCAAAATTAGCGATACTTCTAATGACATTTATGTTGGAAGGAGGTAATTTGTTAGAAATAATGGTGCATAAGACGTTTAAGGGAAGGCTAACTACCATTGGTGAAAATGTGTTGGTAATAAGCAAAAGTAATATGAGTACTATCACACTAGACTGTCGAATGGTATTAATAATTTTCAGTTGATTCTCATCCTTGTCATGTCTATTTTCCTCTTTTATGGTTAAATGTTTTAAGAAATGCAAGTCTTTATTCTTCTGAGGTTCCCTACAATATTATTTAACGTAGCAAACAACCTCTCATTAGCGTATGAATTACAGATCTTCAAGTTATAATGTTGCAGTATAATATTGCTTATTGGCCTAAACTTTTTTTGTTCTACAGGGCACTCGTGATTTTGGCAAAGAGCAAATGGCCATAAGAGAACATGCATTTTCAGTCATTACAAGTGTTTTCAAGAGGCATGGAGCAGTGTCACTTGATACTCCTGTCTTTGAGTTAAGGGAAACTCTCATGGGAAAATATGGAGAAGATTCCAAGTTAATATATGACCTTGCTGACCAGGTATATTCCATAAAACATTTGCTTACTTTCCTGTTGGATATGGTCTGTCTTTTTTGCTGTCTCAATTACGTTGTTTACCTTTAACATATAGTTACTTCTGATGATTTGTTACACGATTGCATATAGTTTGAAGTATCTTTCCGCACTGTCTGGAATAATGTAAGTTGCTGAACATGAACAAGTTGAACACTAAGGAATTAAAAACAGATGATACTAGGTTTGAATTCCTACAAAAGCATTGATACAAACTCTGCCTGGTACGACACAGAGGCACAAGCCTGGCATTTCTTATATATAAGACATAGGAGGCTATTATTTATGGATATTCAAGTAGTCAAAAAAACATGAATCAAGCATGTACAAATATCAGCTCGAACAAGATTAGCTCAAAGCTTCAAACGAAAATCTTAAGAATTATTTAAAAATAAGTTGTTTAGGTTGCATGAAAAGGATAAAGTTAGTAATTGGGAGGAAACATAATAAAAAAAAGGCTAGTGTTTGGTTAAAGTTTTGTCAAACTATGGTTAAATCTGCATGGCCTATGGCCTTTATGTGTCCTGTTAAGTGATTTAGAAGTAATCGATCTTTCTAGGTAGAAAAGAGAACATGCATTCCTAACATCTAGATGGTTATTTGTACTATGGAAATGGGGGAGGGTTGGAGGAAGATGAAGTGCTAGTGTTTGGTTAAAGTTTTGTCAAACTATGGTTAAATCTGCATGGCCTATGGCCTTTATGTGTCCTGTCAAGTGATTTAGAAGTATTCGATCTTTCTAGGTAGAAAAGAGAACATGCATTCCTAACATCTAAATGGTTATATGTACTATGGAAAGGGGGGAGGGTTGGAGGAAGATGAAGTAATGAGCAGAGGAGAAGGTTCGATGTCAAATGGGGCTATAAAGAGTAGATGGCATGAGCCAAATCACATCTATTTAATCCATTTAGTGCCTATTGTAATACTCTGTATGGTATGTATTTTAGTTGTTGCTTTCTTTTCTTAATTAATTTAGGAAAAAATTTCAAACCTTTCTATCTCCTGAAAAAGATTTATATATATTTTAAAATTAATTTTAAATAATAAAACAACCTCATATTAGATATGGTAAATAAAAAGTATCATTATTGTACTGTTATAAAAATTAAGTGTTTAATAATATTAAACCTATTTTGAAAAAAAAAAAAGCTTTCTCATTAGTAGAAGGTTTAAAATTTATTTTGAATTAAATTTCAATATTTGACTAACCAAAAAATGACTACATAGATTCGAGAGAGTTCTATTTCATAGTGTAAAGTTTATCAAAAAAATTTTTTCTTCTTGCTTGAAGAAGCCCTTAATAGATGTGAAGGAGCTGCTGAAATAGATCTGCAAGAAATCCAGTGAAATAGCAGTAAGGAAGCCCAATATGCGCTACATTAGAAAACTGTCACCCATAGGAATAGCGGATGTTGTAGAATTTTCATCAGTTTTGTTGTTAGGTGCAAGATTAGCAATACTTTGTGCGCTCTCAACTCTTATTGCTTATGTTTTATTATTTGAGTGAATATCTTACATTTATTAATGTTTTATTAAGGGAAACATATTTGAATTATTTTCAGCAAAATCCAACAATTAGTGGATAATTAGATGGTTTTGCTTTCTCAAGTTAGTTGTTATCAGTTACGTACTTTATGCGCATTGATTTACCCTTTTTTAAAAGATCTTCAATGTTTCAGCAGCTTCGACCCTGTTTATTCCATATATGGTGTGGAAGTTGAATGTAATCAAAGAATTTCTTAGTTAATTATGTAAAAGTACCTGCTTCCTCCTTGGGGGGTCTTGTTTGCTGCTTGTGAAAAAAAGGTATTTCTCAGTGGAATTGGCATTATTTCTATGTAAAGATATCAGGATATCACAAATTACAAGAAAATTCTACTGATTATAAATGATTTTTTAAAATTATTTTTCTGTTATTTGAGGCTGACTGTTTATAATAGAAGCTGCTGGTATGCATTCCTTGTTTGCAGGGTGGTGAGCTTTGTTCCTTGCGATATGACCTTACTGTTCCATTTGCACGTTATTTGGCTATGAATAACATCAATTCATTGAAAAGGTATCAGATTGCCAAAGTATATAGACGAGACAACCCATCCAAAGGTAGATACCGTGAGTTTTACCAGTGCGACCTTGATGTAGCTGGCCAGTGTGAAGTAATGGAAGCTGATTTTGAAGTTCTCAAAGTTTTGACCGAATTGCTGGATGAACTCAATATTGGTGATTATGAGGTTTCTTCCTTTGATTTTGTATTTAATGTTAACAACGTTGTTCTTTTGTCTAAGTTTTTTCTTTCCCTACCCTTCAGAATGCTGTATAGAAGCGTACATCTGAAACAAAAAAATTCCATTTTTGCACATTAATTGTATATGCCTTGTGAATAAATGTGGTTTTTAGTGTTACCGTTTTCTGTAACTTCTGCTAAATAATAAAAAAATACATGCTGTTATTGCAGATAAAGTTGAATCACAGAAAATTGTTGGATGGAATGCTTGAAATATGTGGTGTCTCCTCTGAAAAGTTCAGAACAGTTTGTTCAAGTATTGACAAACTAGACAAGCAGTCCTTTGAGCAAGTAAAAAAGGAGCTGGTGAGTTATTCATATAGTACAATCATAAGCTACATCCTAAAGACCCAATTTATATCTGGGAAAATTGTAATTCTGGACAAACAGAATACATAAAATTCTCACCCCTGTTGTGTCTGTATCCTTAACTTTTTCTACTTCTATACTCGTGAAAATTTTAGATTTTTATATTTAGTGTTCTTGACTTATTCATTTATCTTTTAATTTTTTTCTTTTTTGGGCCTTTCAAGTTTTCCGTACACTTATTTTTATGCATAGGACAATCCTTACTCATGCATTTTTTGATCTCTTTCCTAGTTTTCATGATGCCATAGTTTGGCAGCAAGCTTTCGTTAAAGCTGTTCTTCTGGTGATCTTTCAAGTGTATTACTGAATGATATTTGTTTTTATCTACTAATACAAAATCCTTGTATCTAGTCTTTATTTCTCGGGCTTCCTATTTCGTGTGTTAATTCTGGTATTTGTTAGCTATTTATTTTCCTTGAGAGGGGCGTGAATCCAAAGAAATGGACTTACATTTGTTGTTTGCTCTGTCAGCTGAATGTATTTTTGGCTTTTTCTCTTTCATTTACTTCTGAAGTTGGTGCATCGTTGCTGATTGAAAATCCTCCTTTCCCAGGTGGAAGAGAAAGGGCTGGCTGTTGAGACGGCCGAGAAAATTGGTACATTTGTGAAGAAACGAGGGCCACCGCTTGAAATACTTTCCGAACTGAAGGGAAGTGGTAGCTCATTTTTGGGTAACAGCGGCTCTGTCCTTGCATTGAATGAACTTGAAATTCTCTTTAATGCTCTTGAAAAATCAAAATGTTTAGAAAAAATAGTTTTTGATCTGAGCCTTGCAAGAGGGCTTGATTATTACACTGGGGCAATATTTGAAGCGGTTTTCAAAGGTTCTACACAGGTAAAAATTTGTTCTATACCTCACTCAATTCTGTGGGCACTAGTTAAGTTTCTTCATATCATTGCCATTATATTTTGAATATATGTATTTTTAGGTTGGCTCCATAGCTGCTGGGGGGCGATATGATAATCTTGTGGGAATGTTCAGTGGAAAACAGGTCCCTGCAGTGGGCGTTAGCCTTGGAATTGAAAGAGTCTTCACAATAATGGAGCAACTTGAAAAGGAGAAGAACAAGGTAATGATTTTTTGTCTCTCTTGTATTTGTTTTAGCGTGTTGATCAGTCAATACCTCATTATGATTTTGAAAGATGTAATTAAGCTCCTATCTTTTGAACAAAGCTCTCTTGGGGCTATTTGATGTGTTGATGCAAATTTTTTTTTTTTTTTGAGAATTCACCAAAACACCTCACCACATTGGCAAGGACTTGAATATTTCTTTGATGAAAAAGGATTTAATCGAAATGGTTAATAGACTAAAGAAGATAACCGACATAATATATAGACCTACTTGGTATCTGAAACAAAATCCATCACCACCGGATCACACAAGTGAAGGTTTGAGTTGAGTAGGGCTGAGTATGAATCTTCTCACACAGTTATAATCATATATAATGATAGAAATCAATGATGATGCAGAACTTTTAGATCTTTACCAATCATTTGTACAATTAGCCTAATCATCATTACGATCATTACAAAAATCCTTGTTCTACTTGTGCATTGTCTAAACAACTCATGTAATATAAAAATTCTGTGGCTTGTCTACCAACACTGCATTATCGAGGCAATCCCTAGTCAACAAAAAGGATGAAAGGACAATCAATTTATTTTAGAATTTTAAGACATCTTTCATCTATGAAATATGGACACCTACTTGACATGACACAAACACGGATATGAGATAATCAGAAAAATATTACATGACATGCCATGGTCACAATATAACTTATTTTATACTTTATTATTAAAACATCTAGTGTTAATATTTTCTATAAAAAAACATTATAAATTGACTTACAATATCATATTTATCACATAAAATCCCAATGTCAACTAAGGAAAAAAAAAACTAGCTTAGATTTAATTGCAATTATGGACACCGACATGACATGACACAAACACGGGATATGAGATAATCAGAAAAATATTACATGACATGCCATGGTGTCAATATAACTTATTTTATACTTTATTATTAAAACATCTAGTGTTAATATTTTATACAATGTCAACTAAGGAAAAAAAAAAAAACTAGCTTAGGTTTAATTGCAATTATATTTCAATATTTTATCAAGAGTACAAAATCCTCAATAACACACCAATATTAGCATTAATCATTAGAAATGATTTTAACATTGTACATCCACATAAAATATCAAAGTTGTAAAAAAGAGTATAAAATCTTAAAATTACCATAAAAATATAAAAAAGAGTGTATCATCAATTGGGCCCAAAAAGATAGCATTGAGATGGACATTGGCTATTCAATATGAATAAAAAAATTATTGAACTTTAAACAGTTTGTGCTGTTTGCGTATTGGAAGTAAACCACGTAATAAAACAACTAAGAAAATAAATGCTCTGGAAAGTAAAGCACACAAGGATTTAACTTTGAAAAAATTCAAAATAGGGAAAAAGTCACGGAGCCATACCACACCAAGAAATTCACTCTGAAAATTGGGAGAAATAAGTGCTGATCTCTCTTCTCCCTCACTCTTTATTTGCTTTGCTTCACTCTTATACCATTCTCTCACACAAAACAAAAGAGAAAGTCAAGTAAAGAACACACCAAGGGATGCCACCATAAAAACAAGAAAGAAAACTGCTAGTCTACCTCGAAGCACTGTGGCGCTAGTTTGCAGTGATGGAGCACCGAACGTAGAGCGCTATGATGCTAAGCTCTTTGTCATTTCTTCCAGCTAACTATGCAACACTGTGGTACTCGGGAACTCAGCGTTGGGGCGAGCGGGTACACAACGATGAGGCGTTAAAAAAAAAAAAAACAAGCATGACAAATTGAACTAAGGTTCGAGATAGTTGTACAACTCGATTGATCGACACAGTCAAATTCCACAGATTAACATGTGCATGCTTCATCCATGTCAACACGTCTCGATTTGTTTTGTACATGACTTTGTTATGCCTAATTCTAATTAAGCACATCAAATGTATTTTTAAATATGTTAAAAAAATGTTAGGTGTGTTGTGCTTAATGTGTGTCTGAAACAGCTATGAAAGGGATTTTGAAGTGTATGTGCTTCATAGTCTCATGTCTAGTAAAAATATGATATTGGGGCCAATCATGCTACCTATTATGCTTATTTTAAATGATTGCTACTTTGTGATTTGTCCACATCAATGCCATGTGGTGCTTGCCCACCTTGATAAACCTAGTTGAAGTAATGTCAGCAATCAACACATGTAATCAACGATGTTTAGACTGAAAATTATTTACATGCTATTTAAGCAAGTGTGAAGGGAAATTTTTCATTTTTGTACATTATAATTATTAAAATTACTCTAATAATGATTGAAAAATTGATATAAATATGTAAAAATAGTGGAAAAATGACAGGAAATTTTGATTAAATTGCTTATCTCCCTAGTGGAAAAGTTGAGGTAGTTGTGGTGTGGCAGACTTAGTAAATAATTGACCTCTTGATTTGATCGAGCAATTGCATCGGAAATTTAGGCTACTCTGGCCAGGCCTAGTTGATCAAGTGTATGCAAGTTGAGTTCACATGTGTGTCAAATAGAGATGGAGAGGGGTACTAATATGAGAAAGGGAAGAATATCTGTGTAGAAGGTGAAAGCAAAGAAGGCTTGGTGGAGGCGGCTTGTTGGATCATGTGTAATCGAGGAGAAATAACACCTAATGAGCTCAACAACATGGAAGATATGAGTAAGAAGACGCGTGACATGAATTAGGATCTCCTTGGATATGTTACATGAGCATTCAAGAGGTAAGGGCATGAAATAAATGATCAAGTAAAACAAGAGTTTAAATCGGATTTTAACATAGTATAATACCAAATTAAACCAAATATATTACTAAATTAGATCAATAATAGTGAACTAGAAAAAATGCTTGAAATGTGTCTCGCAGATGCCCCATATATTTCTCATTTGTGTTGGTGCACGTTCAATCCATGCCCAAATTAAATTTTAGGAAGAAATGCCTTGGACATAATTTTAATTGTGTCATACATGTTTGGATATGTCTTTCTTAGACCGGCCCAGGATGGGCCGGTTGGACCGGTCCAACAGGGACCGGTCCGCGTCTACGCGAGACGCCTGGGCGGAAACGGCAGCAAGGGGGCGGAACCGTGAGTCCATGTGGGCTTGAGAGGGGGAGTTTAGGAGGGAAATTTTGAACGTGAGAGGCTGTTTTAGGAAGTTTATGATTGTCCTTTATGATTAATTTTGTATAATTAGGAGTTGGGGGGAATTAGCTCCTCACCTTGAATTTGAATTCTCTTTGGAGATCTAGGGTTTGTGTGCTTGGGCTCTTGGCTTCGCCGGAGAACTTTGGAGAGTTGTTCTTCCTCTCGGATTGAAGAACAAATTGTATTTTTGCTATTTTCATTGTCTATTAGTAAAAAACAAGTGTTTTCTCCTCATCTCCTGCAGTTTTCCTCTACTTTTCTACTGTTTTTGGCTGATTTCCTGCTGTGGAAAACAGTTCGCTTTGAGATTTGTTGCTAAAGTGATTAGGGAATACTTGAAATCAAGTATTTCCTATCAAATTGGTATCAGAGCA